TACCCCGCGCGAGCAGATGAAACTTTTAATTTTCATTAGGCGCTTATAACTTAAATCTACTAAGTTTTAAATTTTCGATTGTTGCTATCTCCTTCTCTTCTCCTCCTCTTGCTGTTTCCCCCCCTCCTCCCCCCCCTCCTCCTCTTCCTCCTCTACCTCCTCTCCTCAATATGTATTTCTATGTATATGTATATATGTCTTCTCCTCCCCTGCCCCCCCTGAATTTGTTTATCGCTGTGGTTGAGTATCCTGGGATAACGAGGCGCATGAGGAATCTCTGAAGAAACCAATAGGAATCTCTATGGAAACCCATGGGAATCTTAGGGGACCTATAAGAATTATAGGAATGCGCACAACATTCTGTAGGAAACAATTTGGATCTTTTTGCATTGTCAAAATGCAGAAGCGAAGCTCGGAGGCGCGCCGCCGCGCGCGCGGCGGCGCCCCGCTGAGCTTCACCTCTACATTATTCACCATTAATACATCTACATTTAACCCCAAAAACGAAATCGAACATTTCTGGGGCCCTTCAAGGAGGCCAAACGCGTCGGCTTTTCATATTTTTATAATACAGAACTGAAGTTAGGAAGCGCGCGCTTCCTAGCTTCAGTTCTGTATTATAAAAATATAAAGAGCCGGCGCGTTCCTTCAGCCTCCTTAGAGGCCCCCAGAAATTTTCGAATTCGTTTTTGGTATTAAATGTAAATTTATTCATGGTGAATAATATAGAAGTGAAGCTCCGAGGCGCACGCGCGCGCGCACCTCCGAGCTTCAGTTCTGCATAATAAAATAATAAAGGCCGACGCGTTCCTCGGAAAACTAAGCGCATGAGCTACCCTGCACGAGCAGATGAAAATCTTAATTTTCATTAATCGCTTACAAATTAAATCTAATATGTTTCTGAACTTTGGATTTTCGCTTCTTCCTTCTCCGCTCCTCTCTCCCCCCCTGCTCCCCCTGATCGTATTCTTTTCCTTTGCGCATGTTAATTATATATATATATATATATATATATATATATATATATATATATATATAGATATGTGTGTGTATTTTTTTCAATGTTGTTGGATCCTGTTTTTTTTTTTTTTTTTTTTGTTTTTTTTTTTTTTTTTTTTTTTTTTTTTTTTTTTTTTTTTTTTTTTTTTTTTTTTTTTTTTTTTTTTTTTTTCTTCTCTCCTCTCTCTCTCTCTCTCTCTCTCTCTCTCTCTCTCTCCCTTCTCTCTCTTCTCTCTCCTCTCTTCTCTCTCCCTCTCTCTCTCTCTTTCCTCTCTCTCCTCCTCTCTCTCTCTCTCTCTCTCTCTCTCTCTCTCTCTCTCTCTCTCTCTCTCTCCTCTCTCTCTCTCTCTCTCTCTCCTCTCTCTCTAAACATTATATCTCCCCCGCCCCCCCCCCCCCCCCCTTCCCCCCCCACACACACACGCACCACACACACACACCACACACACACACACACACACACACACACACACACACACACACCACACACACACAACACACCACACACGCCACCACCCGCCCACCCCGCCCCCGCCCCCGCGGCCCCCCCGAAGAGGAGAGGGGGGGGAGGATGAGAAGGGGGGGGAGAAGAGGGCAAGGAGGAGGGGGCCAAGGATGAGGAGGAGGACGAGTCGCGGCGAGGCCGACCGAGCAGAACGAGCTGAAGATCGCGACGGGCGAGGGGCCCTGGAGCTACTCCATCGAGGCCGGCAGAGGCATCGAGCCGAGACTGGCCAGGGAGAGGCCCGAGGCCGCTGCGAGCTGGCCCGAGAACGCGCCCCCAGTGCCCGACTAGAGCTTGCTAGACGGCCGAGTGCTTCGCAGTCGAGGACTTGCCGAGGGGCTGCGCGGACGACGAGAACCCCTGCCTCCTCGAGCTTGCAGAGCTAGACCTCGGGCTCGCAGACGAGCAGCGAGAGATGCTCAAGCCGCCAGAGGAGAGCATCAAGAATATCCAGTTCCCGCGCGCCCTGGAAGGCCGAGTCAGGCTTCGCAAGGGAAACGAGCGCAAGAACAAATGGGCGAGCAAGTTCCGAGGCCAGTACGCGGGCAAGCTGGCGGCCAAGTGGAACAAGGCGAATCGCGAGCAGAAGGGCCGAGGCGCACTCGAGAGCAAGAGCCGAGGCATCGCCAAAGCGAAGCTGACAGGGCGAGCCCCCAAGCCGAATACCTCCTTCTCAGAAGGGCCCAAGCAGATACTGAAAGCGAAGCATAACAAGACGGCAACAGACAAGAAGAAGCATAACGGGGGCCTCGAGCCTTGCAAGGACTCGCGCTGGCACGGCAAGATCGCGCGGGTCGACGAGGGGCGCTTGCACGAGGGCAGGCACGGCAGAGTTCAAGACGTCTGGCGCGTCAAGGACTGCGAGGGCGAGTACCAGCTCCGGGTGCTCGAGGTCGAGACGGCGGCGATCTTCCAGATCCGTTCCAGCCAGGCTCGAGGGGCAATGGGGCAAGGGCGGAAGCCGAGCAGAAGGGCCAGATAAGCAGAACGGAAGTTGACGCGGAAAACGAGCGGGAGCTCGCGCGGAAGCCGAGCGGAAGGGC